ATATATACATACATATAGTAACCCATGTACTATATTGTGTACTGGTTAATTTCCATTAGATTTTATTTCATCACTTATAACCACAGCTCTTTGAAAAAATACAGTGATGATAGATACTATTTGATAAACGTCTTTTTGTGCCAGGCTCTGTGTTAAGGGCTTTACAGTTATTGTTTCATTTATTTATGCAGTAGGCCTGATATGTAGGTATTGTACCCATTTTACAGGTAAGGAAGCTGAGGTTCAGAGAATTTAAGTGAATTTCCCAAGTTACTTAGATATAACTGGTGGACTCAGGATTCAAACCTAGTTCTCTCTGACTCAAAGTCTTGTGTTTCTTCTCACATTTCCATGCTCCCTTAGTTTACTAACTGAGAAAAATTTACAGGATAATTAGAATATTGAAAGATGTAGAAATTTGATGCTATGAAGGAAAGGTTCAAGAAAGGATGGTTGTTCACCTAGTTCTCATATTAAACACCAAAATATAGTCCAGTAGATGGCTAAAATATAGTCCAGTGATTGTAACAAAAGAAAACATGGGTAATTTATTAAATATATTACAAAGGGGAAGATGTAATATAAAAATTAAAAGCTAAAAAGGAAAAAAAGTGATAAATTTGAGTATATAAAACATTTTAAACTTCTGTACGTTAAGAAATAACATGCAAGGGAAAAGCCAAAATAGTTCAAATATAATAACATAAAATGCAAATACCAAACTAGTAAGAATATTTGCAATAGTTATATGAGATGGAGCACTAATATTTTTGATATACAAGTAAATTTTCAAATGAGCAAACTCTCCAAACAAAAAATAAGCACGTTAAGTGAACAGGCATTTTATGTAAAAAGAAATTTAAATAACCAACAAACATATAAAAAGATTCTTAACCTCATAATTGGAGAAATGCAAAAATTTTAAATATAATTATCTACCTATCAGAATGTTAAAGGTCAGATATTGGTATATGTGTAGTTTACAAGAGTGTGAAAAAGTAGCCTATTATATAGTATTTGTTGGAGTAAATAGTAATGTTACATTTTTGGAGGCAACTTGGCAATAGCTATCAAAATTTAACACTCATGCCTTTTATCCAACAACTTATTGTTAAATGATATTTATTACAGGATTATTTGTAATAGCAAAATGCTGAAGCAACCTAAGGGTCCATCTATTGTACACTGGTAAAATAAATTGAATAATAGAACACTCCACAGTATGTCATAATGTATGAATGAAGAAAGCTCTTTAAGATATATAAGGGTGGGCAAAAGTAGGTTAATAATAATAACTAATACAATAATTAATTAATTAATTAATAATGCAAGATTAAACTGTTTCGCGTACTCACAAATGTAAACCTACTTTTGCCCACCCCTGTATTTTCAGGGAAGTTATCCTTCAGAAGCACATTCATAAGTGTTTGTGGTAGCAAAAAGCTGGGTACAACCATAACCATATCAATAGGGATACTATTGAAAAGATGCTGCTGCATCCACACCGTGGAATAGGCTCCCATTGAAAGGGTAGAATGAGCCCTGGCCGTTGGGGCTCAGTCGGTGGGGCATAGTCCCGTGCACCTAAAGGTCCTTTTACCGGTCGGGGCACTTGCCTGGGTTTACAGGTTTGATCCCCGGTAGGGGGCATGCAGGTGGCAGCTGATCAACGCCCCACTCTCACAATGATATTTTTCTTTCGCCCTCTCCTTTCCTCTCTCTCTAAAAATCAATAAAAATATATTTTTTAAGTATAATGATATCAGCTGGTATTGAAGATGTCCAACATGGTTAAATGAAAACAAAAACAAGTTGTAGAATTAGATATATATATGATAGTATCCTATTCATTTAAATGAGAAGGCAATAGTATATTAAGATATGTAGAGGAAACAAAAATAAAGTCCCGTGCTTATGTGTGCGTATAGCAGGTTTCTATAAAGCGTGCACAAGAAACCGCTCACAGTGGTTACCACGGGAGTGCAGACAGTGAAGGGACTTTACACTTTTCCTTATATGCCTTTCTGAAACATTACAATTCATTTGCCGTGACCATATAATTTTTTAATTAAAAAGCTAACTGTAATTGCTTGACAAGAGACGTTTTGGTACATGTCTCGTGCATTCAGCTTCCTCTAGGCAAGAGCCTGGATCAAGTACGTTTCCTGTCTCTTCTAGCTCTTCAGTCAGGCTGCTGACTTATCAATGACAATCTCTGAAACGACTATCAGCTACCAAGGAGTTAATCTGAAATTTTATAGTTCAAAGGAACTGTTAGAATCAAAGAGCTCTTTGAGTCTAACACAGAGAGGCAGAAGAGAATCAAGGTTCAGACTGGCGACACGACAGTCACTCAGTGACTGAGTGGCACAGGCAGGCCAAGCCTAGCTCAGCGGGCTTCCCGATTTACTGTGCAATCAATGATTCCAGTAAGGAGTTCACCAGAACAGAAAACCAGGGATGAGGCCAAGAAAGTTGTAAAAGTGAAAAAGGAGACTTGAATGAGGTTACTAGGAGAGGCCCAGGATGAGGAATTGAGGATGACAGATGTCCCAGGCCTGATAGGGAAACAGAGCTGTAACTCCCACCGCCCAGCCAGTATCATTGTCAAAAAGGATTCGTGAAAGACCAGACAAGACTCTATATTTTATATGTAGATAAACTAATCAATTCTTTTATTTTTTTTTCGTGGGCTGTGGCTATCTTCCCTGTAAATAAAAGGAAGCAGAATTCTGATATCATCTGCAGAAACCAGCCTCCGTGTAGGTTAGGAAACTGGACCTACTGTGTGCTCAACTGAATAGAAAGGCTTCCTCGGGCTTGTCTTGTTCACCTCTGTCCCCCACCCACCGTCTCACTCCTGGGGTGGACAGGGAGCCCTGTCATCAAAAAAGCACTCAGTGATTACGTTGTGTTGACTTAGACTGAATTGATTTGAGAAAGATTTTAGCTTTTGCTTCTCATTAAATTTGACTTCAGAATGAATTTTCCCTCTTGGCAGTTCTGAGCTTGTTTTGAGATGCTCTGTTTCTCTTTTGGCGTGGGCCCCAAAATGGGAGTTAGCAACAGCAACATGAACTCCAGGCATTCTTTATTTCATTTTGTCAAAATTCATGCTGGAATTGTACAGGAGAGATGGGGCAGTTGAGTTTATTTTGGAACAAGACTCAGGGCTATCTAGCCAAGCTCGGGATGACAGGACCAGGCATAGGACCAAAGAAGGGGTTTTGGAGGACAGCCAGCCCCATTGTATACAGTGTCCCCAGAATCCCACCTGAATATATTAATCTGTCAGTACATGTTTGTCTATGTATATCACATGTGTCTCTCTTTATTACCTTGTTTTTCCACTAATTTTGAAGGCTCCTGTCTACCCCCAGAAATCTAGGAAACTCACAGAGACGTATGAAATGCACACACTGAAATCCTAGTGGCCATGAGCATACAAAAATGTTTCAACCTTGTCAAACCATAGCACAAACACCACAAGATGAAATTTCATGTGTCTGCTAACTAAAAGTTCTCAAGAGCGTAACACAAAAATGCCTGGGTAGAACATGAGGGATTTTGAGTCAAGTGACATAATCTTAGACAGCCTCTCAGTTTTAGGAAACTTTTTTTCTTCTCTCAGTATAACATACCTTATGAAACACCAAAATTCTCTGGCTTCTTGTCTTTCAGGTGAATGGCATTGACCTCCGTGGAGCATCGCACGAACAGGCTGCTGCTGCACTGAAGGGGGCTGGACAGACAGTGACAATCATAGCACAATACCAACCTGAAGGTCAGTGAGCACCCTAACGTCTAATGTTCTGAGATGTGAAAGTGTGAATGTGGATCTGTGTTTCCGATCACCTGTGTTAACTAGTCACTGCCAACAAAGAAAATCTATGCTCTGTGTCCCAAGAACATGAGGCTGTGTTATCCTTAATTTTCCAGACAGTGAGAAAGTCCTGTTTGAAATATGAATTCTAATAAATAACAACCAGCATCAGCTTTATTTCATTTATATTCTTATCTGGTACATATCTTTTTGGTCAGCAATGGATACTATTAAAACAATTAAGATTTAGGAAGCAAGAGGGAGAGATTTCATGTACAGAAATAGACCATGATCAGTAGGCCATGTTCTCGCCTTGTGGCATTAGCTCTTATTAACAGTAACATGGTTTTTGGATGCCCTTGATCTGGATTTTATTTTATTTTATTTGCCTTTCTGCTACACTTTGGAATGCATCACTATAAACCCTAAGACTTGGTGAGATGTCATAAATCCAATTAACCTACTGAGACTTGATGATATTATATCCTAAATTGAATTAGACCTACTCTGCTCTTTGGTTTGTTTCAACATCTGTTTCAGTGATCAGAATGAGGCGCAATGAGACATCTGGGATGTTATCTGTTGTAGTTGATTTCTTAGGAAATGTATATATAGAATGCTTCTTTGTTCATGAGACATAGTTAAGCATACCACTGGGGGCTAGATTTTGTACCAAAACAAAGCCAAATAAACCAAGAGGAATATGGCTTCTGTCTTCAAGAAATATGGTTAATTGCTTTTGATCTATGTGGCTAGCCATCAGGAGTATTAAACAGCCAAACATGAAAATACAAGATGCCATCAAGGAAGAGCCTATGTGCATGTGGGTATATGGAGCTTCTTTGGCCTTTTCAAGTGATTCTTATTAATGTCAACTGGTATATTGTTGTTTGGAAGACTGAGGTTTGCGTCTTGCCTGTAGCATCTTAGATTTTACCATTCATGGTGGCCAACCACATGTTTTACCTGAGAATAGAGAAAACATTCTGCCAAGTGTGTTTTGATACATTTCTTTCACTTTGCCTGGCTTTAGAATTAGAATTTGCAATTGTTATACAAATATATGTATATATTAAATGTTTTCTCTTATTGCTCTAGCCCAGATGTGGCTAGAGAGCTGGGGAAGAGGGGATAGATTGGTGATTGTCAAAAGACGAATGATGACTACACGAAGGGAACATGTTCTTCCCAGACAGTTTTCAGAAGCCTTTCTACTTCTTAAAAATTAGTAAACATGTCTTCTAGTGGGAATAAACAGCTCCAAAAGTACCCATTGTAAATCGCAAAATGAAAAGATCTGGGTTAGCACAATCTGATAAACAAATCCTAGTAATAACTTTTTCATGGGACTCTTTCATTTTCTTGATAGCTGTTTTCTTTCAGTCTCATAACCTGGTACATGGCATAAATATCCTGGGCTGTTTTTCCATTTTGGAAAAATTTTATCCCAAACAATTCTGCAGACTGATAAGGTGGTCAGAACTATAGTTACACCAATGAGAAGCTCTTGGTAGTAAAGACAGCCATCAAAATAACCTTGAACAGATGATTTCAAGCCTTAAAGGCTACAATAAAGGACAAGCTGTTCCTAGTTCTATCAGCATAAATCATCTCAAGCTTCCTTACTATTTAGTTTCCTTTTAGCAATATACTTAATTTAGATACTGTGTTGTACTTTAACAAGATGCCTGTTCAAAGCATGTCTTATAAATCACAAAAATCAATTTTTAAAGTGCTCCTAAAGAAACCTGCAATAACAACAAGAAGCTTATTTTTAAATGCCAAAGTACAGGTGAGGTTCACGGAATGACTTCCCTATTTTAATATTTTAACTGTATTGTAATTTGTTGAAGCTTTAAATCAGTTGGAAATGTAGTTATGCAACATCGCGCAACCATTTTTCCTTCTTTGCAAATGTAATGTGCAACTAAGCCTTAATTTAGCTATTGTTTGAAATGGAAAACTGGTTGGATTGTTGTTTAGGTCATTTAGGGACATTTAAATTATATTACATCTTTAGGAAATAATGAACAATTTACCTTTAAAATAGCAAGTGGAAAAAAGAGCATGCCATGAGATTCCATTAAGAAATTCTCACGAAGTCCCCTTCATTTGCACCAGTATTGTGAGGTGTCCATGCTAAGACACATTTTATCGACATCTCTTTTGCTATATGGTCAGGAACCATGCTTTCAGTAAATAAGTTTTCGGGTTACATTCAAATGTTTTTACAGGACTATTCTAGATGCCTTGCTCAGTATTACTAAATATTCGGGAAATTTGGCCAATATCTCCATCCCAAATCTTTGTCTTTAAGGAATTGTTTATCTTATTGAGGAGAAAGAACTTAGATGCATTTAATAGAGATCAGTTCCTGATGATATAGGACCAAAATTGTGTGATAATGGTACCATCTCTATGAAGCATGAAATGTCAGAGAATGGATAAACCTGCAGGAGCCAGAACAGTACAAAGAGTACTTTATGGAAATGAGGGAATAGAGCCAGATCTTGAAGAATGGGTGAGATTTCTATTCAGGAGAGGAGGGAGAAAGACTGTCTTGCTAAATCCACAGGATTGTGAGCTCCATGCATGCAGAGACAAAACCTATATTTTGTTCACTGATAAATCTGTCTTCAGTGTTGTGCTATAATTGGTATTTCTTAAAGAGTCGCTGAAGTAATGAATAAAAGTTTACCATTTTTCAGTGCTTGAATTTCCACTTGAAGGTAATTGAAGGCTGAAGAAATTCGTTTTTACTACTTGCATTTTTTAAATGTTTGCTTCAAAGCAGAAAATAAGTGCTAAACAAGTGGGTGTCACAAAACATAAAACCATTTCCAATTGTGTTTTCATAATATTTAGCACATTTTTTAAATAATTATAAATAATTTATAAATATCATAATGTAGCAATAAATGTCTTTCTTGATAAGTGTCACTGCTCAGAGTAAGGCCTAAGTTGTTCTACTCACAATTCTGCTTAAAATGACTTTGACCCCAGTTGTCTGAATTACTCTGTCTATCGTCAGTATTATTCAATGTCTAGTTCTAGATGGTGGAATTGAAGAGTCACATAAAAACATACAAAATGGTGTGGTGTGATTGTAATTAACTTTTACCGTCTTTTTTTTAAAAAAAATTATGTTTATTGTTGAAAGTATTACAGATTTCCCATTTTTCCCCCCATTGACGCCCTCTGCCCCCCTTCCGCCCCAGGCCTTCACCACACTATTATCATCTGTGTCCTTTGGTTAATCTCTTCCCACCCACCCTCGCCTCCCCTTGGAGATTCGTCAGTCTGTTCCATGCTTCTATGTCTCTGGATCTATTTTGTTCATCAATTTATTTTGTTCTTTAGATTCTACATATGAGTGAGATCATATGATACTTGTCTTTCTCTGACTGACTTATTTCACTTAGCTTAATACTCTCCAGGTCCTTCCATGCTGTCTCGAAGGGTAAGAGATCCTTCTTTTTCACAGCTGCATAGTATCTTTTTAAAATCCAATTTCTATCACATGTTCACTTTGAAATTAACATATATTTACATTAATAATAAGAAGAAAATGAAGTTATTTTGTCTTTTTTTTAATAAAAAGGATCTTATATCTGGTACTTCAGGAATAATTCTACTTAAGCAGTATAGAGAGTTAATTCTTATAAAAACCTCAATTACCTATATTCAATTCATGAAATTACTCCAACACTATTGAAAAAGGAAATATAATGCCTGCCACCCCTCCAAATATACATACACCTTTCCTTACTCTTCCCAGCCATCTCCCCCATTCCTTTTAGAATTATCTTTTTAAAAGATATGACCCCAATGTACCCGTGTACAAACTCCTTGCCCTTAGCGACATGGTCCTAAGCAACCTTCATGCCCCCTCTCCACCCATCCACATCCATCAGTATCCATTTTCATCATCCTCTCTCACTGCTGCACGAGGCTGCTCCCAGCTCCTACACTTAATCCTGAATTGTCATGTTTCTGGGCCTTTGCTCATGTGGGTCCCTCTACCTGGAGTTCCTTTCTTCCCTCTCCACCTGTAGGACTCCTAGGCATCTTGAGGACCCTCAGATGTTAATTCCATTAAGAAGTCATCTTTATTCTGCTAAGACAACATTAATTGCTTCTTTCTCTGAGCTCCCTAAACCTGAATTCAGGTACCTGGTGTGTCCCTTATCATGATTTGCACATTTCTCCATTCAAGTAAGCTTCTAGAGGACAAGGACCCTTCTATCACATTTTTTTAAATCCTCACCCAAGGACATGCTTAAAGAGAGGAAAGGAGAGAAAAAGAGAGAGAGAAATAAATGATGTGAGAGAGAAAGATCAATCTGTTGCCCTCTGTATGTGCCCTAACCATAAATCGAACCCTAAACCCAGGAATGTGCCCTGACCAGGAATCGAACCAGCAACCTTTTGGTGCATAGGATGATGCTTAACCAATTGAGCCCCTCCTGCCGGACATCTATCACGCATTTATCTCCCATGTTAATTTGCTCAATATGAACTTGACGGTGCTTAATTAAACAGGTATCAAATGAATGGTTCTCCCCTTGTTTTAGAAGTGCAATGTAAATATCTTCAGTGTATTGGCCAATATTAATAATAGGTACTTAAGAAATAGTTGATGAATGAATATTGAATGAATGGCCTAGAGTTTTGATATTAGATACAGAAATGGTAAAAATCCCTAGATTGGACATTTGATGTTGATGCAATTTTTAGATGGTGCCTTTTTGGCTTTTGTTACAAACCTTTGGTGACCAGAAAATCACAGAAAATTTACAGCTGTTGCTCTGTAATACAGCACAAAGAATAGATGATTAAAGCTGTAATACTTTTTTTAAAGTTCTGAAACTCAACTTGAACACCATTGATGAATTTAAAAAGACATTGATTACAACTTAATTATATATTTGTTGAAAAGGATCCAACACAGCATTCCTCTG